GGGGTGCTGCGGATTCTCCATTCCCTGGTACGGCTACACAGCAGCGAGGTGCATACGGCTGCTGACGGGGCGTGGGGCTCCAGCTATGGGGCTGTTTAATAGACACTCTGGCTGGCACCTGGGTTCTAGGACCCTTGTGCAGGTGCAGGACTGGGTCTGTCCCCCACCCGGGCCCTACAGGGCCAAACTCCGCTCCAGCCTAAACAGGGTCGGCTCCACGGAGGGCCACGAAATTACCCCAGGGCTGATCCTGGCTGGGGTGGAGGGACTTGCACCTCTAGGGCCCAGGGGGCAGATCCTGATCCTGGCCTCTCCCAGCAGGGCTGCAGGGCAGCCAGGAACTGGACTGAAGACACTGAACAGCCTCTGCCAAGTGGGGCCGGATGGGGCAGGAGCTGGGATGGCCGTAGTCCTTGTTCCCAACCAAGACACCTCACAGAAACATTGCTCCTGGCAACCGCAATGTCATAACAAGCCGCTCTCCCGGGACTGGGCAGCTGGCTCGCGGCGCAGGCGTGCCTAGAACGTGCGGGCTGTGCTGACCGACCCGTGGCCGTGCTCTGATTGGCTCTCACAGTCAGTGCTGTGTGCAGTCAGCACCCACCTCCCTGCACGGGCCCTGGCTTTCCATGCACGTCCCTTAGTGCCGGTAGGAAGAAAACACCACGGACGGAAACCAGTGGACTCAGACCACCTTGCGCACCGGCAACGGTAACCAAGCGCCTTGCAGGCCACACACAATGTCCCCGTGCCACCGGCTGCCCACCAGACAGGCGGTGGGTCCTGAATCGCGCACGTTTGTCTGTGTCACAAGAGGGAGGGGTGTTGGAAATCAGCCAAAGACGGGTGACGTGATTATGGCCGAGGCAGGTGGGGGAAGGTTTGCAAACTAAGGTGCCCTGAGCAGAACGGGGCACCCGGCATGCCCAGCCGCAGAGCTGGGGTCTCAGCCCCTCTGGGGAGCAGCCTCGCTCCCTGAATCGGAGAGGCTGGGGGGTCAGACTGCTAGGGGGCGAGGGGAAGTGGTTCTGGTCAGTCCCATTCCCGAGACCTGCCCATCTCTCTGGAGTCCCTGCAGCACCCCAGGCCTGGCCCATGGGGGGGGAGGGGGTGCACGCCGCACTCCTGGCCCATGGGGAGGTGTGTGTGTAGGACGGGGTGGGGGGTGCACTCGGCAAACAGCTGATCCCCAAGCAAAGTCGTGGCAGCCGCAGCCCCGCTCGGCTTGCAGGGGCAGGAGGGCGCCGCGGGGGGAGCGGAGGAAGGAGCCAGCCGGTGGCTGCGGACCTGGCTAATGCACCGCAGCTGTGCAGCTGGAACGGCGACCCGCAAGAATGCCGCACTCCCCAGCGGGGCAGGGCCCCGAGGCCAGCGGCCTCCGCGGAGACACGGGACTTACCTCCGCCAGGGTCCCCAGCAGCCAGGACGCCCACAGCAGGGCCAGCAGCGGTGGCTTCATCAGGAGCAAGGCCAGTTGGGGCCCCTCTTAGGTGCAGTTGCTCCCGTCTGGCTCCGTCCCCCAGGGCAGCTCCAGCCTGTGTCCCCACCCGGGACAGGATGACATCAGCGGGGCTACAGGCGTGGCGCCAGTCGCTCTGCGTGGGCAGGGGCTGTGTGTGCTGGCCGAGGTGAGAGAGCTGGGGGGGAGGTCTTCGGAGAGAGCGGGTGTGTGAGATCTTCAGTGTGAGAGAGACAAAACCCTTTTCTGTGTGTGTGTGTGTGTGTGTGAGAGAGAGAGTCTGCCTGTAGTGTGTGTGTCCCGTGTGTGTCTGCCTGTAACGTGTGTGTGTGTGTATGAGAGTCTGCCTGTAGTGTGTGTGTCCTGTGTGTGTCTGCCTGTAAAGTGTGTGTGTCTCCCGTGTGTGTGTCTGCTTGTAATATGTGTGTGTGTCTCTGCTGTGTGAGAGTCTGCCTATAATGTGTGTATGTATCTCCCCTGTGTGTGTGTTTGCGTCTCCCCTGTGTGTGTGAGTGAGTCTGCCTGTAATGTGTGTTTCTCCCCTGTGTTTGTATCCTGTATGTCTGCCTGTAATGTGTGAATGTGTCTCCCCTGTGTGTGTGTCTGCCTGTAATGTGTGAATGTGTCTCCCCTGTGTGTGTGTGTGTGTCTGCCTGTACTGTGTGTGCCCCTGTGTTTGTATGCTGTGT